AAGAGACTTTCTGTATTAAACTTTATAACAGGCTTATATTTCAACATATGATTAATAATTTAGTGATTTTATTTTATTATTATTGGCCTATAATAATATCTCTCACTACAAAGGATCTTCAGCCTAACATAGCCTGCATTTATACTTTAATTTTCCGTATTGCGATTATTATGATATTACGATTATATACAGGCCTATTACGGTATGTGTAAACTATTGTATTACAGTATTATAGGCTACGTATTCGAAGTATTATAGACATTAACCATTTAAAACCGAAGCTCGTCTAAATAATATAGAATTCAGTCCGTACCGCAAAGAAAACAAATCACTTCACCGTTGCAAAGATAAAGTGGTTGATGATATTTAAGAAAGTAGTCGCTTTTTACAGCGAGAATAATTGAAAACATAAACACAGAAGGAGAAGTTATTGATTATAAAAGCAGATTAAAAAATGGTTACCATTGGGCTTTAGAGGGTTAATATGCCACAAGATATGTTTATATCTCATGCCCAGTTTTATGCAAAATACGACTTTTATTGGAAGTGTAGAGACTTCTTAACTAAACTATTCTTTTGTTGTAATTTCCACCTTTTTAAATTAACACTTTACATGATATTTACGATATAACTCGTTTATACGACTGCCCCATGTGGTTCATTTGGTGTCTACATAAAAAGATACGCGAAAGAAAGTTCTTCAGTCACGTCTGAACATCAAAAGCTAGCTATTTGTGACTTTTCAGCAACAAAAATGTTGGCTATTCTACAAAGAAAATATATTAACACAAGGAGGTTTGTATACGGAAACCCGCATATGAAGGATTAAACACAATCCCGATTGTAAAAAGCAGTTTATTTAATTTTAATTACCTCGGTTTCTAGAGGCTAGTACTTTGTCCAATAAGTGCCGAACACAGGGACCATAACTTGTATATCCCATTTAATTACATATTAATTAATAAATTCCTTAAGAAATAGTGAATGGAAAGAATTCTGGTTTTGGTTGAGTGAAATATGGGTTAATTAATAGGAACAGATATTGATAATTTCAGTCATTATACCTCTCCGTGATATGAACGAAATATCTCGTTCTGAATTACAGTCTGTGATTGTCCGTTGTATCATTAATGACTGACTGTGTAAGCAAAGGGAGATTTCTCGTGATATTTCTTCATGTTAAAATTGTTTACGTCGTGGGTCTGTTGGTGTACATATAAGAAACTACATGAACCAGAAGCTGATAATCTCCAACCTGGTTAAGAAATTGTCTCCTTTTTTTACAAAACTCGAATTGTCATTGCCGTGTTCCCTAGATCGCGCCATTTAACCTTATCCTTAGCCAGTTTAGTCCACTCAGTAATCTGAAATATTTTCAAGATCCATTTTATTATTCTCTCACGTACGTCTAAATCTATTTTTAGGTCTTTCGTCTAACATTTTGTATAGACACTTATCTCTCCCATTTGCGTTGAATAGAAATATACGAACATAAGAATATAAGAACAGTATTTCAGCTCAAAATAGAACAACACGACTTTATGGTTTTTGAAAGAATATTTTACGCGTTGTGGTTGAACTGCATGTTACTGGCAAGCAGGTTGCACCAAGATATTCTGAGAGCTGTTTAAAGTACTTGCACCTGCATTGCCTGCTAGTTAACACCTTGCATATTCCAGCAGTACTCATTACAAGTTCTGCGAACATATGTAATTAGCATTAAAATGTTTCAGCTCATCACCAACATTTAACAACCGCTTTGATTATATATGAAGTTCTTTTAAATATTATCGCAAACGGAAATGTAGTGCAATGATTTGTTTTAATTAAAACAAATGAGTTCTGAGGATAAAATAGAAGAATGAAACCTGTTTCATTATTTTCTAGGTAACTTTAAGTAATGTTGCAAAAAGAAATTTGGAATTATTCAGGTTCTGATGTTTATATTTTCAACAGTAAGTGACATTCATAACCGGAAACAAGACTATTAAAAGAATATCAAATCTAAAACTTCTTGACGATGGTGAAGAGTCAATTGAATAAGAATTTACTTGGATATTATCCATCGTCTAGTAAATATAAAACTTAAAAAACGACGTTTCGGAGATGGGAATTAATTCCGGAGATAGGGATTAGCTCTATCTAGTGGGCCCAACTGTGTAGGAACCTGAAGACGGAGATAGAGTCCCATCTCCGAAACGTCGTTTTTTACGTTTTATATTTACTAGACGCTGGATAATATCCAAGTAAATTTTTATTCAATATTAAAAGAATAAGTTGTGTGTCCGGACAGACAATGATTGGTAAGTCTATTCATATACATACGCGCTGTCTCAAGTTAAGCTGAGGCGAATTGATTTTGCGATCTGGCGAGTAGACATACAAAAAGTTTATTTGCATCAACTAACTTTGTTCAATTTTACTGCTTTCATTGGTGACAGCGGCTTGTAAACTATTTTCTGTTGTCGGCCTTTGAATGTCCATGTGAAGGAAAGTAAGAATGGTTTAAATGCGATAAATGAGCAGGATAAAGCAGACTGATAATAAAAGAATATTACTGCAATTTTCACATAGCTTTTATTTGGAGATCTAACGTCACTGATATTCAGTCGATGTTCCTAATTAATGTCGGGTTAAGTGTTAATAATCACAACAAAAACGATGTTTTTTAGACTTTCGGTTGGCGAATAAATCTTTATCGAGTGAGATTTGAGGTTCTCACGGCGACTAGAATGGAAAATGATGTCTTCTGGGTTGATGCTTGTCCTGATGATGGAGGTAGCAAGGACCTCTGAAACGTCGGTTAACTTCTACCAGTCTACACGGCGCTAAAACCCAGAAGATAGCCATCTTCAACAAATTATTTGTTTGTACGAGCTGGCTTTGTGTGCTTTTCCTGAGGTTTCGTAAAAGGCTGTGCCTTTCGCAAGGAGTTTGATCAGCTTTTACACAATTAAATAAAGTTACTGAAATGAGTGTCTCAGATATTCCACATCACTGAATCACATTTATATCCACGTTTCAAGCCTCACTATATGTTTCAGTAACATCCACCTTAATGTTATCTTACAGCTTCATTCTCTTTCGTGTAAGTGACCGTTTTACAAGATACTTTAACTGCATAATTCTGTTTGTATTCCATGTCATCCCCACAAGAAGTGTTCAGGTTATAAACTATTTTTGTTGTTAAATCACAATGACGTATTTACGGGTTAATCCACCCCCCTCCACCCACCCCCGAAACGTCGGAGATGGCATAGAAAACTAAGTGTTTTTAAACGTTAAAAATTCGAATTCTATCAACTAATTTTTTTAATTTTGTATATTAACTTAGGCATTTATCCCACTCTTACATTTTCCCCTACTGGAATTAGTCAAGAATTACGTAACTATGACCTGCAATCAGCGTAAAAACATCCGAGTATTGATCTCTCGATATTATTCCAAGAAAACCGTGGACCCTTGTGTAAAGATAAAAAAATCTTTTAACATTACGTAGATATATTAATAATGAGTTATCAGTTACGAATATTACTCAGAATTCATGTCAATGAAAGAAGAAACAAGCAGAGAATCTTCAGAAATCCCTCACGTTTTGGTTTCATTTATTTGAGAGATTCGAAGCCAGATTCTTGTTATGGACGCGAAGTTTTCTGATCGCTAAGCCCAATTTATTTTCTGCTTATAAATAGTGGCCAAGCCACTTGATAGACTAGAGCTAAAACCATCCTACATAACCACACACGCTATAAATTCATCAACTTCTCCAGAATTTTCAAAACCATAAACATTTTTGTGTCGTGTATTTTATACAATTCGAGTTAATAACACTTCTTCTCATTTCCCAAAACCTAACACTTTATATTTCTACGTGTTCATGTATTTTCTTAAATCTAGTCAGGATCGTTTATGGTTTCAAATCTTTCTGAAGAGCTTCTAGGAACTTAAATACGTAAATTCATAACGCAATTTAGGTACAAAAGAAACATTATTTGTTAAGGCAATCGTTTGAGGCATCTTCCTGGGCTATAACAGAGCTTTGTTGTATGTTAGAGCGCATTTATAAATTCAGAATAATCAGAGCTCTGTATCACACGCGTTCCGGTCTGAAAATCCCCCGAGAACATAATATATGTGTGATTTAAAACTAATTCTTCAGTGTAAGCAGAAACAGATCTAGAGAATGTACACATATTTGGTTTCCCTTCATCATGAATCTAATTTAAAGCTTCACTGAATATAATCCCTCAGAATGGATGTACTTGTTCTTATCCAGTTGAACGCGAAGACTTTGCAGCCCAATAGAGGCTCACAGTGACGTGGGTCGAACTGTAAATTGCCTTAAGTCACTGCGTTCTTTCTAGCAACACATGAGTGCCACCTGATGATGGCAGACGAAATGCTGGGTAACGTGTAGCAAAAGTGTCCTTCAGACCAGGGTCAAATTGAGAGGCATCGTGTGGTTAAAATGTCTCTTAAAATAGCTGCGATGCGTGACATATATCGCTTTTCATTCAAACAGTTTACTTTGAAAACACACTTTATATCGACGAGACTGGCTTAACATCAATCAGAAATCAGTTGATTTGAGAATTTGCTGTGTATAATACGATATAACTTTTCGTAATTACTTTTTCGAAACACCCTTTGCCGAAATGAAATCCTAGACGCGTTAAGGTCCTTTATATTCATGAATATAAAATTTAAACGTAGTTTTATGTTCTATCTGAATGTTACCACGTGATATTAATTCGTCATTATCTTCACGTATTTCAGAATGTTGTAATATCGAATAAGTACAAATAAGTATGATTAAAACAATTATTTTGTTGCGTGAATTAAGTTAGGGCGTAAAATCAGGACATGAGTCAATTTTAATCTGAACCCCCCTCCCCCAAACCCCCCAGCAGTTGGCTTCTGTTCAAGAGCATCTTTTCGTAATAATCGCGGGAAAGTGTTCTATGCAAGTTACATGACAGCAGATACTGATTGTAACTCACGTTAGGCTGTGGTGCACCGCGGGTGGTATTGAAGGCGCCTGCCCGCCTCCCAAGTCTCAGGTTCAGTCCAGCAGTCACCTCCGCCACGGCCACCCAACGTAGCACCTCGCGTCGATTGTTCATTGTTGTATAATTTGGTTTCTAGCCGCGCGCGCGGGGCGACGTAGAATCCTCGGCCGATGGGGCCCGCATCTACCGCGAACGTTCAGAGAGCCACGTCGGGGAGGGAAGTTGGTTGGTTTTGCCGGCTGGTAAGTTGCTCACCGCCCGCCAAAGCCGGCAGTCGGCGGTGGGGCCAGGCCATGCACACATACAACACACATGAGGTGGTCAACACTTTTCCCCCCCTGTTCCCTCCCACGCATCAATGCGCCTGCCCGACGAGAACGGCGGAGGGAGGAGGAGGAACGAGGTAGTGCCTTGTGTCGGAAAGAGAGAGTGAACTGAGAAAGGGGTATAAAAAGACATACAAGGGTTTTGGAGATTGAAGGGAACAGAAAAACTATGCGCGTAACATACAATACTGAAGTGGCCCTGCGCTATCGTTCGATTTTCTTCCTACTGTCCGTTGTGTGTCTCCCCTCCCTCTTACCTCTTTGATCTCTTCCCCACCTCTCACTTTCCCTCCTCCTCTCCCCTTTGATACCAGTCTGTCCTTTTTGGTAGGTTATTGGTTGGGTCCCGCGTGCGGCGTAGGCTTTGGGGTCTCCGACTGTGGTGGTAAGCTTCCTTTCTCGGCCGCAAGGTGGCAGCTCTGTACAGCAAGCCTCTTGGAAAAGGCGGAGCAGTGGCAAGGAGAGAGAGGAACTTGCCGCTTCTGCTGAAGGATTTGTCCCTTGAATACATTGGGGGGGCTCTCTGTCTTCTTCTTCTGTGTGCTGGCCTCTCTCGCGCCCCCCCCCTCACCGCTGGGTCCCCCCACGACTTGGTTGTGCGCGCCGTAGCTGGGAGACTACATGTCAGTCAGTCTGAGGGAGGGATTTGTGCTGAGCGGTCGTGGAGGACTGTACTCACGTTAGCACACGTGGGCGAGGATATATTTTTGACGTCACGTGTGTACAAGTGTAATATGGGATACTCGTCATGTTTGAATTAAGAGGCCCTTCTGTCACGGGGTACTCTGTATATCAGAATCGTAAACACAGGAGCTGTACCGAATTCTTTACCTTCAGAAACGTAGGGGTGAAGTGTATTATGTGTCTCTGCGGACAACTGCAGGCAACTACTTAGAAAACAAAACTGCGAAGGAAAGTGAAATGTCACTCTCGTGATAATGGCATCAGTGATTATTGTTTCTGAGGCTATTTTTGGTGACATCTGTACGCCTTCATCGTCGTCTGCAGGGAGATATGTCGCCGACGGGGAATATGATGTCGACTGCCGGGAGGTACGTAAGCTACGTGGAGTGTCAGGTGCTGTGGTGTTCTGATCCGACACAGAGCTGTCTGGACGGAATCTGAAGCGGCGATATACTTGTGACAAGGTGATAAGTGGACGTCACTAGCTGTGGGGAAAACATCCTCACGAAGTTCTCGCTTCTCGGTGCCAGATAACAGCAGAGTGGATGGTCGGATGTCGGGGTCCACTAACTCGTCAGCAAATTGCTTGCAGGATTTAAGACAGCTGATGTTGCAGATTTTGGAATTTGTAGCTCGAACAGATGTGATACGGTTAACTTATCCTACGTATTCGTTCAGATATTCTATGTAGGAATGCAATTATTGACAGTTCGATTGTTCGACTTCGAGATGTTTTCCGTGATGTGTTGAATTGTTTTAAAATTAAAAACAAAACAGAAACGAAGTGCTACTTGACGGGACGAACCGTCGAAGACAGTGTGACGTAGATATAAAGACGGTTTATTATTTTTCGTGACGATAATAGAAATGTTATTTTAAAATAAATCGAAATAATATCGATTTTTATCGCATCGACGAAGGTTTTGTTTTATGGAACATGAATTTTGTAGGGGGAAAAAAATGAAAATTGTATTCGTTGGAAGTGGATTCAGAGACTGAGACTGGGTTAGTTCTTTGATATTTTCCCGAACATTTTCCAGGAATCATTAAAGATCGTGGTGTAGTGTCTGTGGTGTAGATGAACGTCTGCCTGTCCGCGTGTGTCAATTTATAAATAGCGACTCTTAGTTGTCTGGTTTATGAGGGGAGACATCTTTCTTAAGAAATAACCCTTTAACGTTCTTATAGCCTATGTAACCCCCCCCCCACC